AAGGGTATACAAATGAACTGCTGTTCCACTGTAATCAATAGACTTGCGGCTTAAGGTTGGAATGAAAAACATTAGCACGTGACACCGTCTGTCTGACTTAAGGAACGAATATCAAACTCATAATACTATAGCTTGATAAATAAATGAGCAAACTATTGTTACCTTTTAGCCTTTTGGGGCAGAAGGAAAGTTTTTTTTCCGTTTCTAGAGATTTCCTTTTATTTAAATATATACAAGGCATGTCTTTAAACCAAAAACCGCTTTCATGATAAAGTTAAAAATCTAAAGCAATAAACCTTAGACCATATAGCTAAAATCCTTCGTATGTACGAAAGCTATTCCAACCATAGTCCCAAACTATTATTATAATGAAGTTATAAACTTCCTAGTCAATTGAAATGAGATCAAGTGTCGACTAAGTTCAGTGGAATAGACCGCGTCTTACAGCGTGATTAACGACCATATCAATCGGCGACGATGAACTGACGATGTTATAATACTTGTGTGGTTACTACCTCTATTATAATTATCATCAGTCCATGATAGTCCACTACTGGATTATAGACCTTCTCTACAAGAGAAAGGGTTTGCCACTCCAAACTTGGCAAACGGATAAAAGATCTCAGTTTAAATTGATCAAGTTTATCAGAAAATGCTACTGCTGGGTCTCTGTGAAATTATAAATATTTACATTTATTAAGGTTTTGACTGCCAATAGAAAACTGTTGTAGGCAAATCCGTCAACGCCGGCGTTTTATGTGTTAAATATTAAAAGAAATCATAATAATGTTAAATTTTTGCATCTACTATAATTGTGACTCTGCATCACCCTACGGTTGACTGTTAAAAAATACTACTAAGCATTATGTCTCCGTACCGTCATTGTGTATTGTACAAAAAGTGTAATTAAATAAAAAATACATATAGTACATATATAGCCCCGAAGTTGGGTCTTACGAAACCCGCGGGAAGAGAAGGGTTGTGAAAAGTATTCTACCTAGACGGCTAGACTACTTCGAGGTCTTATGGCGTGATTAACGATCACATCAAGTCAGCGACGTTGAACTGGCGCCATTATATTACTTGTGTAGTTGCCATTAACTGCAAGCTCAATGAGAGACGATTTTCTCATAGTAATTAATGTCATCAACCAAATGCAGTATTCTAAGAGGTCTTTTATATCTTTAAGTACTCCTTGGTTTCGTGTTTGATCTTAAATAAGGTGGAGTTAAGAAAAGTATGTGTTTATTGGTGGACAGGTATATTTATAGTTTTCTAGAGATATCTAAGCACTGCCTCTTCGGCAAAGTGTTCGCAAGTGCGACTGCCAGGCAAGAGGTCTCGGGTTCGATACTCAGGTCTGGCAAATTATTACTAGGTTTCTAAAAAAAATCTCAGTAGTAGTACGGAGTCTGGAAGTGTGCCCGGTATGTGGCAATAGGCTCAACCCCTATTACATGAGACTCATAATACAAATAGTTAAAAGTGGGTGTTACATGGCATTAGTACCGTACCTAATGAGTACCTCTGTCTACCTCTGTCGGGGATAAAACGCGTGATGTTATGTCATGTTATGTTATGTTATATCTGAAGATATTAATTGACATATCCAGTAAATGTAGTGTGCGCTTTTTCAACACACACTCTAAAAACAACTCATGATCATTGAAGAGAAAATCAAATAGTATGAGTTATTGTTACCAACTTAAAAGTATCAGATCCAATCAAAACCTCTAATTGAGCATTTTGAATACAATACACGCAAGTCAATGAAACAATACTACTAGTAACATAACATAACATCACGCCTTTATCCCCGAAGGGGAGGCAGAGGTGCACATTATGCCACTATACAATGTAACACCCACTTTTCACTATTTATGTTATGAGTCCCAGGTAATAGGGGGTGAGCCTATTGTCATATACCGGCCACATTTCTAGACTCCGTGCTACTACTACATAACATTTATCTAATTAGTCCTTAATGTTAATTTCTTCTTCGTAACAAATGCTTGTCTTTAGTTAACGTTGAGAGCAGACCGTGAAACTAATGGTAGTTAGTGTCGCAGCTAAGTTAATATAGCTTAACACCGCCCGACTGTCAACACGGGCGGAGACGGGATGCAAACCTAGTTTACATTTACAATGTATTCAATTATGATGATAGATAGTGGGGTTGTATAAAGAAAAGATGGTGGCTAGGAGAGCGAAATAAAATACTTATGTTTAAGTGTTTGAATGACTCCTTATTCAGTTGGAAGTATGTAATAACTAAGCGAGACATGTTTGATTCTAAGGACGCAATACATACTTAAATGAAAACTAAAAGACCAGAATCGCTATCATAACATCACGCCTTTTATCCTCGATAGGCAGAGGTGCACAGTACGGCACTTAATTCCACTGTACAATGTAACACCCACTTTTCACTATTTATGTTATGAATCCCATGTAATAGGAGGTGAGGTTATTGTCATATCCCAGGCACATTACCAGACTGCGGGCTGCTACTGAGAAATTTTAAAATAAAACCCAGTAATACTTTGACCGACCCGGGAATTGAACCTGAGACCCCTTGCCCAGCAGTTGAACTTTTTTTTAAGGGGGGAAAGTTATTTAATGACTGCTCCCGCCTGGGTGAGGCGGGAGGGAATGTCAGACTCTTACTGACTAAAAACCTGCGACCACTCGGCCAATGAGGCAGTGCAGAGGCATTTACTATCATTAACAATAAAAGACACAAGACAGCAAAAACAATGAACAATTTCAAAGCAATCCTGCTTACTTACCCTACCGTCTAAATAACAAAACTACAAATAAAAAACAAAAACATCCAAAGAGGATCCTATAATTAAAATGCCTATAACCTAAATATCAATTATATAACGACAGCCATGGTCACTGGCTGGTAATAAAAAAATAAAAAACCCGCCCACAAAATACAGCGAAGCAAGAAGAATGCAAGCAATTTTTAATGTAAAACGAACGAGGCATCGCGGCCCGCGCCACGGTAATAATGTAGCTTACGACAAATATTCAACGGAATCGCTGTACACTCTATACACAGTATCTACTCACACATTTTCAACGTTTTCTTTTGATAAACGAGGGTTTATTATCCGTTTTCTAGTGGATATAATAAAAGATTATATTATTATACATATAGTTACAAAGTGCGTTCAAAGTCGTTTTACAGTCGTTTCTACATCATAGACACTGCACGACATTTATTTTGACTGCATGGTTGGCGCGGTGGCTGGACAACTGGCTGCCGCGCAACGTGTCGCGGGTTCGATTCCCGCACGGAACAACTGTTTGTGTTATCTACAGATTGTTGTTTCGAGTCTGCGTGTCATGTGTATGTGATATTGTATGTTTGTAAACACACCCACGACACAGGAGAAAATCCTAGTGTGGGGCAAAGTTTTTATAAAAAAAATTACTATAAAATTCTTGCATAAGAATAGTACTTACCTTCTATTTTAAAACAAACATAAAATTTGTATAATATTGCATCCTAGTTTCATTGCAAAATCCCAATGAAATTACCAACTCGTTCATAAAACATGTAAAAAAATACTTTACAAGTCAATTTTATTCATGTTATTAAACGGAAATTTTATCTACTTTGCGTATGACTGAAATGTTCAAATATTTTTAAAATTCAGCTATAAATGCATTACAAATACAATGAAGTACCAACAGTGCACACTGCACAGTATGGACAGCTGGATCAAAAACACGAGCGCGCATCGCATCTATCTATTATTCAAAACGTTGACTGTGTTTAGATTCGCACTCCGATTGTTTACGTCAGGTTCACAAAATCCTATAGAATAACTTATTTTTTATTCAATACTTCTTCCATACCATAGAGAATGCCCTAGGTTGAAACCCACGTTTAATATTCTAAAGTAAACCCTAAGGAATATGGATGCTTCCTTGTTCGCTTAAAATAACGATTTAATCACTTTGCAAAGGGTTTAGAGTTAGAAATATTGTCGCTTTAATCATTCGAGACTCGGCACTGACGATGACTCAACTGATGAATGCTATAAATTATTGTATCATCTAACAAAATAAAATGGCAACTGAAATAATTCCCAATACAAAATGATAATGCTTACAAAAACATAGCAGTCTGTTCCGTTTACAAATCGCGAACTACGATAACAACATAGCGATTTCGATTCATATCTCGCTGAATAGGGAATTCACCCGTAACCCGTAATACACTACAAATGAATAGCCAATGTTCATAACAAGGGCCAACATTTTGATTGGCAAACAACAATATGTCCCTCAAACCATGATTCGGTCGCGACATACCACTATTAATGTATTAACAATCGCAAAGCGGCAGTTTATCCTTGTAATTACTATTGTTTTGTGAAACACATTAAGCTTTCCGACTGACAAATTGAACACGAACGAATAATGTTAACACTTGCCCCAAAATCAACATTTGCTTGTTGACATTGCAACGTGGGATGGGATGAAATTGAATATTATTTTAACCGAATACTGTACTGGTAGCACATACTGCAAAGTAGATACATTATGTGAGCATATAGTGTATTGTTCCGCACACGACATGCCGAAACAATATTTCAATTCGATATCGGGCGGACAATGGTCGGAAGTGGCCGAATATAAATGGACGGAAAGGCTTGTGCCTATCGAATAAAGGGTCGATGAAACAAATGACTGTATCAACTGGCCAAAGACTTTGGCACTATGTAAACACAATTAGTAGTTAATTATTGTGCAACAGGGCGCTTCTATAAGTAATTTACTGTCATTGGAGATTTTTTATTTTATTTTAATGGTTTAATCAATTTCTTATCATTTATGTTTGTTATTATGGGGTGATGTTTTAACGCCTGTGGTATAATAGATTCTAAAGTTAGCAAATATTTTTCTGTATTCATGAATGTCATAAGAAACTTTTAGCCAGTTATTTTTTGTAATCGAAATATTAATTTCAACTTTTTTCCCAGGTGAAATGATAATATCAAACGACAAATACCAGATGACGGAGATCAACAGCTCTGCATACAGCGTGCAGATGCGTCTCGTTATCAGGAACATCCAGAGAAGTGACCTCGGAGGATACAAGTGCATATCTAAGAACTCTATAGGCGACGCCGAGGGCAACATTAGGTTATATGGTAAGTCTTCCACAAAGGAGGCACCATGCTGTCTTTGTATTGTCAATGGAACTTTGTACAGCAAGAAGCGATCGCAAACTATAGAGTATTGACTACGTCTCGTGTTCTCGAATCGTGTTTCAAAGATAGTTGGACTATTGTGTATAGAATATTAGTCGACAGTCCAGTTAAACTGTCAGTTATGTTAACTTTTGATGCATTATCTTAGCCATTGTGCAACATTGTATAATACCATACGGTCAAATTTGTCATTTAGATTTCGAATCTTCAATTTAATTTTAATTAACACTACATAGAAGACGATTTTTAAACTGATGATAATGTCTTTTTTCCATGCATAATACAGAAATGGAGTTACCAAATCGCAAATCGCGAGACGACGATGATCGCGACTACTCCATTGAAGAAACGAACGACGTTCGTTCCAGTCTCCAGGGTCCACTTCGGGAAGGTGGACCAAGAGATGAAGATGCCAGCTTCTTAGGCGGAGGCGGACCGGCCGCCGCTGCCGCGCCCGCCCTCACCGTGAGCGCTCCCTTTTTAATAACGACCTTAGTCCTCGCCACATGCTAAACTTTTACTTAAAGCCATGTGCAAAGTTAAGACTCCGGCAAAGTTACTCATTGTATTTTTATAACAGACTCGACTTACGTACGTATAGGGTAAAGGTGCATTACTTTAAGATACGTATTAATTCATCTTTTATTTGAGAAGTAATGATTCGTAATACTGGAGAACTTAGCACTCGGATCCATTTCAAACGTAGTGTTATTTAGTTTATAGTGTCGTTTTATTTTGAAACTCAAAGAATCGATATTTTCAAAGACTCTGAAATTGTATACGAACTTATAATACCGCCCAGAAGTCATATTTTATTGAGATTTGTACTAATTATCAATTTGCTGTCTCGTGTAACATTAATCAGTGTAATTTGTCACGTTTCGTATATCACATACTAAATTGAATTAATTCTTTCGTGTGGGCTTGTCTTAAATTTGTGCATGGCTCAGCAGTGTTCGGCTATTAGGAGTGTGTCTTACTAATTGGACGTAAGACTGTGTATCATTTAGATTAAAGACTATAGTACTAAGTACGGTACTTAGTGCGGTACTAAATGCGAAGTGTAGTGCTAATAATGGCACTTTTTATAGCAAATGGTGAATGAACTATAAGTATAATACAAAATAGTAACTAGCATTTCATCAAATGTCAGCTTGTAACAGTGTAAATGCTTATCGATATGTACGAAGACATTTATTTTTTACTGACAAATATTCCTTGAATATTGCAGATTGATTACAAATTGCAGTACAATAGAAATAGCTCCATATTTCCAAACAATCTATGTCACATCTGAAATCACACGTGAATCGTTCGATTGTTGTCGAAGCTGTTTTATTGAATTTCTACTTTTGGAGTTATCTATTTCTTTTAGGTAATGTTTATCTAAAAAACAGTTTTGATTAAAAATATTTAAGAGTAACAAGAGCTCACGGAAATCTCTTAAATATTTAACATTACAAGCTAATTTTTGTATCTTGCTTGTCCATTGTGGTATAACGTATTGTCATATTGATAAAGACATTATTTTAATTAAACACTGACTGTCTAAGCTGCAATATGTTCTTCTTTGTCCTCTATAACTGTTGTACAATAATTTCCATTAAAATACGAATTTCATTTGTGTTGCAATTGAATATGTAACCAATCAGTGTCATAATAATTGTATATGTATAATCATAAACTGTTAATGTATATGTACATAATATAATGTAGCTACGCGGTTATAAACGTTAGTATATTGTTTGCTCATTTATTATTTGTTATTATTATAATATATAGATGTACGTATTATGAAAGAAATGTATGTAAATCAGAAACGCTATGAAGTATAGGAGAAAATTTTGTAAATTGTTAAACGTTTTTAATATTGTTGAATTTATGAGAAGAATAAAGTTAATTTGTAAACTGTATCTAAGGTAATGAATGGAAGTTTCGTAGTCATGTTTTACGCGGATGTCTTGTGTTTTTTATTTTTTATTTTTAAACTGGTTAAGAATTCTGTATCTATCTTACAGCCAGTATTTATTTACTTATTGGCCTTATGTAAATGTATGATATTGCCTGCGAAACAAATATAAACGAAGTAAAACTTTTGATGTTGTTTCTTTGTGTGTCAAAAGGACATCGGTCCTTTTTCCTCAATTTAACAATAATAACATATTAATACGACTCGCCATTTTGTAAAGTATCTAAACACGGTGGTGTTATTTGTACGATACCAATAAATTGGGGTTCAGGGTAATCCATTGTCCATACTGTTCCATTCAAACACGAGAGTAACTTACAGTAAACATTAAGAATCTGTGTTGGCAACGAAACTAAACTCACCAGGCACTAATTTTCAGTACCAAAACATGCTCTATACATCAAAATGAAAACCACTGACGTAATCAAAGGTAGAAGCAGTAATTACACACTATATATAACGATAACAGTTCCCAATTTCTTAGAGCATTCGTACTGAGACCATCCCTAAAGCTTAATATTAACACTTAGTCAAAATGTACAGCGAAGGTCTGACAATATCACGTATGTCGACCCTCTTAATAGGTACCTTTGGGCGAAGGCTCTGTAAGTGGGATGTAGATAGGGTGTAACCACTTGCATTAGCGAAATTACCTGAGGCTTTGTTATTTTCATTGCGACAACCCTAGGCACCTTATGTGAAGGTGTAATAGAAACTTATCTACTAGGAATTGTCTTGGGTTATATGCTTATAGTATGGTGAATTTTCTAGGGTTGTTTTCCGCCTTGAGTTTATTATAAAGGTAAAATGGTGCTCGGATAAGTATTTTTATGAAATTAATACAGCTCAGTTTTAATTAGTCTGTACCTTACCTTTGTCCACTGTAACCTAATATGGTTAGATAGATTCATGAGTAGTTCTCTATTACGAGTAGAACACAGTTTTAATAAATACTCGACGGGGAAGTCGTTAAATTATTACCTAATATTTTGTTCTTGTCAAAGTTTACAAAATCAACATTATTGTTATTCACTGCGCAGAATTTTAGACTACACGATGTTACTGAGAATTTTAAAAAAGGCAAAATAATAAATTGTTTATTATAGTTTTCGGCTTACTCACGTAATTATTTGACGAGGAACTCAACTAGTTTCAAGCCATGGTAGAGGCTCATAGCAGCGCCACAGTCACCGTGCTGCGGGTCACGCAATGATATGAGATCGATACGAGAAATAATTACGTGAGTAAGCCGAAAAACATAATAATTAAATTAGTATTTATTACGAAAGTTATAACAAAAATATCTAAAATGATCCTACTATTTCCAACTTAGCCATCGATCTGCCACACAGCAATCGAACTTTCAACTCAACTAAAAAAAGACTATCATAAACAACTCGAGAAAGAAAATATATCCGTAACATTCGTCTCATAAGTCCATTATTTAAAGAGCACATCACCACATGAAAGTCACCGACGTATTTTATTAATGGCCACCCTCACTGAGGTTTCCTTTGAAGTCTTTGTCCAGTCCAAACCAGGGTTTAGACACACGGGGTGATATTCAGTGATCCTTGTTCTCCTAACACAATATTGGTACCGTACATTTCGGAACTCCCTAGTGTATCACGATTTGAATGTCGCAGTTTGCATCTTAAGTGCTAGGGACGTGTGCGCACTGTAATGGATGGAGCACACTTTTTGTAAAGTGAACCTTAACCCCTTGGGATAACGTAGTTTTACGCGTGTAAATAATGCGTGAGCTACAAAAGGGTATTGTTAGGTCGATTGTATTCCCTTGATAGATTATTTCCGTGATTTTCTTGGTACGAAAGATTTAAATGACTTGCGGTTTTTATAGTCGATGGATTCAATTATTTTACTGAATTTTTCGGGTACTGTCTCATCGGTCGAGTGGTCGCAAGCGTGACTGCAAACCGGGCCATGAGTCTCGAGTTCGATTCCCAGGACGGACAAAGTGTTACCGAATTTTTAAAAATAATCTCAGTAGTAGCACGGAATCTGGAATTGTGCCCGGTATATGGTAATAGGCTGACCCCCTATTACATTGGATTCATAACATAAAAAAGTGAAATATGGGTGTTACATTGTACAGTGGCATTAAGTGCCTTACCTCTTTGGGGATAAAAGACGTGATATTATATGGTGGATTTTTTTGGGGTTATTCCGCTTATTTTTATTAATTGAAAAGTAAAGTTTAGTACGGTAAGTTATTAATCCAAGGGCAGGCGATCAGTGCACCGCATTATCACCGACAATTTCGAAAATACACACTCAATTTTTCCTTTCCTAATCAGTAATTAAGAGTAGACATAAATCACTAAGATATTTTAAAATAGACTTCCGAACCACATAAATATAACCTAATTACCCCTTCAATTCCACATAACATCAACATCAAACATTCTACATCACAAAGTTAAAATTGAAGCTGCCTCAGTTACAAGGGTTTTGAGAAAAAACTATTCTCTTTGTTCCAACTCGGTAGTCTCTGTTACTGCGAAAACTTGCCTAGTTTCGCATTCAATGGAATATATAGGTTACCGAGGGGACTTTCACTGCAAACGAAATGTTAATGTGCTAGATTCGACATTAAATCGTGTTGTAAACTTCTTCTATTTACATAGACGTTAAGTTAGTTGGTAAGTACTTTTTTATTATTTTGAAGAACAAACCTGAATGCAGATGGAGATGATTTAAAGAGTGTTCTGAATTTAACAGTGAGCTAGAAGCGAATGATAAATAAAAATAATAATTATTTATTGACAAAAATTTAACACAGGTAAGTAGACTTCCCTGACATTTGAACTAGTTTACACTGTATTACAAAAGCCAGTGTCTTCACCCATGAGTTTAACAATGGCATGCCAATATTCTTATTGGCATGACCTTAACCCCTTGGGATAACGTAGTTTTACGCGTGTAAATAATGCGTGAGCTACAAAAGGGTATTGTTAGGTCGATTGTATTCCCTTGATAGATTATTTCCGTGATTTTCTTGGTACGAAAGATTTAAATGACTTGCGGTTTTTATAGTCGATGGATTCAATTATATTACTGAATTTTTCGGATACTGTCTCATCGGTCAAGTGGTCGCAAGCGTGACTGCAAACCGGACCATGAGTCTCGAGTTCGATTCCCAGGACGGACAAAGTAATACCGAATTTTTAAAAATAATCTCAGTAGTAGCACGGAGTCTGGAATTGTGCCCGGTATATGGCAATAGGCTGACCCCCTATTACATTGGATTCATAACATAAAAAAGTGAAATATGGGTGTTACATTGTACAGTGGCATTAAGTGCCTTACCTCTTTGGGGATAAAAGACGTGATATTATATGGTGGATTTTTTGGGGTTATTCCGCTTATTATTATTTTAAGAAATTGAAAGTAAAGTTTAGTACGGTAAGTTATTAATCCAAGGGCAGGCGATCAGTGCACCGCATTACCACCGACAATTTCGAAAATACACACTCAATTTTTCCTTTCCTAATCAGTAATTAAGAGTAGACATAAATCACTAAGATATTTTAAAATAGACTTCCGAACCACATAAATAGAACCTAATTACCCCTTCAATTCCACATAACATCAACATCAAACATTCTACATCACAAAGTTAAAATTGAAGCTGCCTCAGTTACAAGGGTTTTGAGAAAAAACTATTCTCTTTGTTCCAACTCGGTAGTCTCTGTTACTGCGAAAACTTGCCTAGTTTCGCATTCAATGGAATATATAGGTTACCGAGGGGACTTTCACTGCAAACGAAATGTTAATGTGCTAGATTCGACATTAAATCGTGTTGTAAACTTCTTCTATTTACATAGACGTTAAGTTAGTTGGTAAGTACTTTTTTATTATTTTGAAGAACAAACCTGAATGCAGATGGAGATGATTTAAAGAGTGTTCTGAATTTAACAGTGAGCTAGAAGCGAATGATAAATAAAAATAATAATTATTTATTGACAAAAATTTAACACAGGTAAGTAGACTTCCCTGACATTTGAACTAGTTTACACTGTATTACAAAAGCCAGTGTCTTCACCCATGAGTTTAACAATGACATGCCAATAAGAACATAGTAAAAAATTATAAAAATGTGTGCTTTTGCGTGTGTGTGGGTGTGTGTGTGTTTGTGGACGTGTGAGTGTGTATGAGTGAGAGAGAGAAACAGTGTTGGAAGTGTGTATGTATGCGTAAGTAGTGAGTGTGTAAGGTGTAAGGGAGGAGGGCGCATAGCGGATTTTTTTTTAATTTTTTTTATTTATGAAGCAGTGATTCTATTGCATCGTGGGTCA